TATTCAAAGGATGTGTGGCAATACATTTCGTGCAGAAAACACGATAGAAATCTACACAAGGAATGATTTTACGTTTTGGAGACACAGAGAGTTTGGAATTTTGGCGCTTTTCTATATACGACTGTGACGTCATTTCTTTCACGTCACAATGAGCGATATGACGTCATAATGGTGAAGTGCGATGTAGAGCGAAAGCCTTGCAAAGCTTGCTTTGTTTTCTTTAGGGATGCCCACCTCATGTCAGCTTACCAAGCTGCCGTGCTTATATGCTTTCAATGCCTGTTATATGTTAGAGTGAAGTATTACGGTGTAAACAAACTGCTTGAGTATATACGGCACCATAATTTGTTCGGTGATTCCGTAATTCAGATCGATAACCCACTCAAAACACTGAACTCAACCCATGCCGCTTCACTCAGTATATTTGCTAACACCAAAGAGTTCGCATTTTATTTAGTCATGGTAGAATGGAGATAAACATACTGTGTTTTCAATGTAGAGCTAGGTTACCTGTAGATTTAACCGCGCTAAATTTAACATTTGAAACCTCACGCTGCGCGTTCGGTTCCAAATTCAATTTAGCGGGGTTAAATCTACAGGTAACCTAGCTCTACATTGAAAACACAGTATGTTTATCTCCTAATTATCTTACAGAAGGACAGCATAGTTATAATATTGGACTGCCTCTGTGGTCTCTAGGATATAGCGTCTGCCCATGCAGGGAGCAGAAGGTCAGTGACTTCTTTGATAGGCATTTAGTTGGAGTACTAAGTAAGGATAAGAATTTATGGATGAACAACTTCTTTATTACAATTAAGAGCAACATTTCGATGTAGGTTCTAAAACCGTTATCAAGCAACTGATTTACAGAGTGTAGTAGGCAAGTATATATACAAGTAGGAGGCAATGTTTATACAGTAGAGTAGATATTGTTATACTGGATTTGAGAAGCCTGTTATGTATACACAAGGGTAGTGATGACAATCATCGGTGAAGTCAGTGACATAATCAAAGGATGAAGCCAGTAATGTAAACAACGGGATTATTGCTGATTGGAGTCTTTGATGAGTTGATGGTACGCTGGGGGGGAAGGGGTATGTAATAGCCTTGGTCACAGTTTATTGAGGGCTGAAGTCTTTTGATGTTGATGGCTTCTTGTAGCTTCTTCATCTTGAAGTCTTTGAGGTTGGTGGCGAGGGTTGTGACTCTCTCCCACTGGATGCTGTGGCTTGGGTTGTCACGGATGTGGTCTGATAGAGCTGATTTAGAGTCATCTTTGGAGACTGAGCTTTGATGTTCTTTAATTCGGGTTTTGAGGGGCCTAGATGTTTCTCCAATGTAAGCTTGTCCACAATTGCATGGAATGTGGTACACTGTCATCAAAGACCCCAATCAGCCATAATCCTGTTGTTTACATTACTGGCTTCATCCTTTGTTTATGTCACTTCACCATGATTGTCATCACTGCCCTTGTGTGTACACAACAGGCTTTTCTACTCCAGTATAACAATATCTACTCTACTGTATAAACATTGCCTCCTACTTGTATATATACTTGCCTACTACACTCTGTAAATAGAACAGACTAGACGAAAACGTATATCAGCCTTCAATAAAGCAAAACGCGACTACAAATATTTAAACATAGCCCACGAACTAAACCACCAGGTTCAAAACTAGTCCAAATAGCCAAAAGTAGAGACTGGAAAAAATTCTGCGAAGGTATAAATAACCGTACAGATGCCAGAATGGTCTGGCGCAAAATCCACGCCATCAGAGGCTTAAAACGACATAAAAAAACCCCTAACATTGACATCTCAACCAACCCCGCCCAAAAAGCAAATAATCTCGCCAAACACTTTTTGGCTGCTAGCAGTAACACCAACTTCAGTAAAAAATTCCAAGATAAACTTAAAACAGAAAACAAACCCACAAAAGAACCAAACAATAACAATCTAGAAATAAATCAACCCTACACAATGGAAGAGCTCCTCTACGTAATCCAAAACAGCAAAAAGGGCACAGCCCCAGGATTAGACCTAACTTCTTACCAAATAATTAAAAAACTCCCCCTAAAACTACTCCAGGCACTACTCAAACTATACAATCTCATCTACCTAAACGGACAGGTTCCTACTCCCTGGAAACAGGCCCTAGTCATACCAATCCCTAAACCTAATAAACCAGCTAATCAAGCTAACTCATATAGACCAATATCCCTAACTTCAAACTTATGTAAAGTAATGGAATCAATGGCTAAAAATAGATTACAACATTACTTAACCCAAAATAACATCATAACCCAGATCAAAGCGGTTTCACTCCTGGCCGCTCAACCCTAGATAACCTCGCCCGCCTAGAACAAGATATTAAGACAGGACAACTAAATAAACAATATACCACAGGCATCTTCTTAGACTTCTCTAAAGCTTTCGACATGGTATGGCACGATGGGCTAATACAAAAACTTAAAAAAATAGGACTCAAAGGTCAGATAATAAACTACATCCAGGACTTCCTAAACAATCGTAAAATAACCGTGGGTATAGACCAAACTCTATCGGACCAATGTCCCCTAGAAAATGGTACTCCACAGGGCAGTATCCTCAGCCCCACCCTCTTCAATATAATGATAAACGATCTATTCGAGGGCCTATCCCCTAAAGTAAACACATCAAAATTCGCGGATGATGGAGCCATCTGGATCCGCACTAAAAGGATGAACATGGTCCAAAATTTACTCCCAAAATCTCTTAATAAAATACAACAATGGGCTGACAAATGGGGCTTCTCCCTTAACTCAGAAAAAACAACAGGAATAGTTTTCAAACATAAAAACATGAAACCCGCCTCCCCAATCCTCCAGCTAAACAATCAAACAATCAAATTTCAAAAACAAACCAAATTCTTAGGACTTATTTTCGATGAACATCTCACCTGGGATGCTCACATCATAAACCTAACAACTAAATGCAGTGAAGACCTAAACACCCTAAGATGCCTCACTGGCTCAAACTGGGGAGCATCCAAAGATACCCTCCTCTCACTCTACATATCACTAATTAGATCAAAACTAGACTACGGCTGCGCCATATACAACACCCTAAACAACTCTCTATCTAAAAAACTTGACTCAATACAATATCAGTCTCCCAAACTAATTACACGCACCCAACATGGCACCTCCTACACTTCACTTCAGGCCTTAACAGGAGAAATGCCACTAAGTCTACACAGGGAACAGCTAAGCTTAAATTTCTGGGCCGCGTCCCAATCAAACCCTCTCATCCAAAACTTAATAAACCAAAACATCAGCCCCAAAAACCAAGCTCTAGCTCGTAAACACCCCTTACTCACCCCAATATCCCAAAGAATAACAAACTACCTAAATGGACACCAAATTAAAAATCTTAAACAAAACTGCAAACAATCAAATATCTTCACCCCTAAACTTAAAATACCCAAAATAGACACAACACTAGCTAGCCAAATAAATAAACAAACCGACCCAAACATAGCTAAAACCACCACACTAGCATACATACACGAAAATTGGCCAAATTGGTGTCACATTTACACGGACGGATCCTCAGATCCGACCTCCAAACACACAGGTTTCGGAGTTCATACCACACAACCAACTAAAACCACACAATCCTTCCGACTCCCAAACAACCAATCAATATTCACAGCAGAACTAATGGGCATGGCCTCAGCCCTCCATAATCAAGAATAAAAAAAACACAAAAAAATCCTAATACTTACCAACTCCCTAAGTGGACTGCAAGCCCTCCAAAACAAAAATACCAAAAACCGACCTCAATTAATAAATCAAATACTTAAAAGCTCCAACGACCTAACTAAGGCAGGCAAACAAATAACCTTCTTGTGGATACCCGCCCACGTAGGAATATACGGTAATGAAAACGCCGATAAAGCAGCTAAACTATCCCTCAAAATCCCAGAAATAAGCTTAAACTTACCCATCTCAAAATCAGAAATTAAAAGTGTAAACAAGCAAAAATCACAAAAATATGGCATAACCTATATCTAAACTCAAATAGCCAAATCAAAAAAGTGCTCAGCAAACCACTAACCAAACCAAAAATTCTCCATCCATCCCAAAAAATCGACAGAGTAATCACTAAACTCCAAACAGGACACACCAACCTAAATAACCACCTAAAAAAATTTAAAAAACACACTACAGGTAACTGCCCACACTGCAAACAACCAGAAACCCCAGAACACGCACTCATCCACTGCACACACTACCTAACACATCGAACCGCATTACAAACCACCCTCAATCTAAACAAGGCTCTAACTCTAGAAGCAATACTAAACCCACAAAATAAACTAGAAAACTTCAAGGCCTTAGGCGTATTCTTAATAAAAACGGAACTAATAAAACGCATCTAAAAACACAATAACCTACCAAATCAAAATCACATAAACAAACAAACATCCACCATACCCACCTCCCTTAGTTCTCCTCCCCAATCCCATCGGCATCTATTCCAAATCTCAAAATTCCCAAATTCTATATAAGCAACCCCTTAAACCCCCCTTTTGGGTTGCACAGACCACTTTCGCCCCTTTCGGAAACACATTAAATGGCCTTGCCGGGCCCGTGTGCGAAATACGTATCAGTCGGAAAGCGCACATTAAATCTCCAAAGTAAGTAAGTAAGTAAGCACTCTGTAAATCACTTGCTTGATAACGGTGTCAGAACCTACACCGAAACGTCGCTCTTAATTGTAATAAAGAAGTTGTTCATCCATAAATTCTTATCCTTACTGAGAAGGTCAGTGGTTTCATCACTATATAAGTGCATATTATTGAATGCAATGTTAAAACCCCATTTCACCTCTCCTTACAATATTATTGTTTAAAATATAAAACATGCCAACTTTAATTTCTATTCAAGCTTTTGCAACTTGCAAACTGCTGAATGAACTGAGTTCCTGTTGCAAATGTTTTACCATTCATAAACTTACCAGGTGCAAGAGAACCCTCATTGCTTCCCGACACTGGGTTGGAGACTGCAGAATCTCACACACAGCATGTCCCATCAATGCCATCTTGCTACTGAGACACACATCACTACCTACCAACACCCAGCCACCCCAGTTTGAGGGGTGAGAGAACTGTTTTGTGCACTGTACCGTTTTCACAGCTTTAGCAAGAGCCTGAGTTACTCTCTGATTGTCTTCTAATGCTGTGTAGAAAATGCGCATCAATAACTTTGAAGCCTGGTCAGGTACTGGCCATAATGAAAATAACACACATTGGGCTCCTGCTGATAGTAAGGCCCGGGTCAGGCCAATCACACCATCAGTGTTAACACGACCTGCTCTATCATCAGTATAGCCAGAGTTTAACACAACTAGTTTTGCATGGAGTTTTAGATTCAGAATGTCTGCTGCTGTAAGTAGGTATTCTGACAATGGAGGACCTTCTAATGAGTCAAATTCACCACCACTATTTTCTTGAGACTTGATTGTTGGATACCTGCCTCCTGATGAAACCAATTCTGTAGGCGACAGTACTATAGATGAAAGCTTCCATGAGATGTGAGTGGCAAAGTGGATCACCTCAACTTGCTCTATCTGATGCAAAATGGCGCCCTTTGTAGCCTCTACCCCAATGAGTGGACGACATGACAACAACTCTCCAACAATCCTAGACTCATACTCTGCTCCTGGGATCTCATGAAGATGCCAATGCTGACTTATGGTTGAACTTAGTCTTGGATTGCCAACAACTAAAGCACCTGATGAATCTATCATAGGTCGCCCCTGGCGGTCAAGTTTTTGTGTGTTGGAAAGGGCACTGATAGATGGAACAATTATCAAATTATAGCGTTCAAATAAATAATCTTCAGCTTGTTCCTTCCGCAACATAAGAAATGGTATCAGGTATAAATCACCTTGAAGCACAAGAATAAGATCAATAGGATCTGAAAAGTTTTGGCTTAAATTTGCCAGTGCTTCTTCCATTGGTCCCAAAAGGAAATTATACAAGGCAGAGAGAGGAGAACGACCTCCATTAATGTGTCTTGCATTCCCTCTGTAAGATGAGAAGTTTGTGTTGACAGTTCCACCAGCACCACTGGAAAGGCTAAGTATACTGTTGACACTGTATGTTGATGTATTGAAAGAATGGCCTCTGTTAACCATTCGTAGGAATCCTGTGCGATCATTTTCAGCAATAAGACGATCACCAATTTCCTCCAACTGAAGCTGGAATACATCATCATTCTCACTTTCTGATCCACTCTGGTTCTCTATGCTATGTCTTGCACCTCTGTGAAAATAAAAATACATGTTTTGTTACTTTCAGTAAGCAATGAAAAATACAGATGTTATATATTTGACAAGATGCAAATAATCTCATTGAGTCAGTATCTTATAAGACCGGTCTGAAAACAGTACTGACAAGGTTACATCATGGTCGACATTGCCGAGATAAGAACCACTTAGAACTTTATGGAACTGATTGGTATGAGTATTGACTCACTACTTTATTGCATGACCCTAACTGGGTTCACTAAATTTGTGTTCTGTAGGTTTTGATTGAAACTTAATGTTAACCTCAGTTAAGGATGTGTCATTGAACAGTATGCCAACCTTAAAGGGGCCCTAGTCTCTGGCTTCTACCCTCTCTCTAACACAGCCAGCGAAAACTGTTTAGATGCCGTAGGACTATTTGCTGGCTGATGCAACTGAGCATGACAAGAGACTGGACTACCTTCTGTGAGGGCCGTGGATGATTACAGTTTTATAAAAAAAAGTATCCCTGAAGTGCAAGTATTTATTTATTTCTGATGGCGTGAATAAGGTGACTGAGATCGCACTTCTGTGTTTCATAGCTTGATATTTTACTTAATCATGGCATGTAATAACATCATGTCAATAACCAATAATATCAAAAATACACATTTGATTTATTTATTGCAATGGATACACATACAAAAAAATAAAAAATTCCTGAAAGGTACACTGCACCAGTTCAGCTTATGCTTGATGTGTATACAAAGTTACAAGAAGAAATATTGAATGGTTTATGATCCAGAAACAAAATATGATGGTCAGACCATGTCTCTACATTCCCTGCAAAACTTTATTTGGGAAAGGCATAATATAAAGTAAATGTGTATGTACAATAATGTACTTTAGTATACATATTATATTTGCAACAATGAAGTTCAGTTCATATTCTCCAAACAGCAACAACCCTTATATTTCATAACTTAATTGCTACTCCCTTGTTGTCATCCCTGGTAATAATGCCAACACATGTCCAGGAAGATTTGGGTGTTATAACCGGGGTGGTGTTATAACCAGCGAAGCCATTCTATTCAGTCAACACCAAGTCATAAATGAAAATATGTACATTAAATAAACATTTTTTTAAGTGAAGATGGTCTTCTCCCGCCATTTTGCCCAACATAGGGAGGATCCCCGATGCTCACAACAAGGCTGACGGTGACGCAGCTTGGCCAGCCAATCAGAACACACGATACAGGGATTCCCTATCCTTCCGTGCGGATGGAATAGATGCACATGTCAAACAACAGGTGAGAAAAAATCTGGTGTGGTGAGTTTGTCGACCTAGGCACAATCCTACCAAACACCGAGGAAAGCAACGAGGACAGTACTATAACCATGGCGTAGGTAATATAATTTTTATCCCCAAAAGGCCTGGTGCCGAAGAAGCAGTCAGGCTATGGTCAGCATTTGGGTATAAGCATGCGGAAGAATTCTGTCTAATTCACCATTTATCCTATCCCAGGGGTAAATCTATAAACGACTTTATAGACGCAGTGGTCTGCTCCGTGGTGTATGCAAGATTTGATTGTAGCTATATAAGTTATAAGAATAAATAATTCTATTTTGAACAGGGAATTGGTAAAGTGAGAAAATGGCAATATTTTGTTGCACACGATTTTCAAATGTCGTTTTTTGTAGATATGCTTTGCTAAAATAGTTGATAATGGCATCACATAATAGATACTTTCCCTAAGCATCCCAAAATGTGATGTGTATTTGTGTGTGTGATGTATTTTAAGTTTTAGAAACATATAATGGATCTAATCTCATCTTGGTCTGCAGTATCTAAATTGTACAGTCATAGAGCCTGTTGTTTCAAATAACACCATGAACAGTTTGACCTGGAGAATAAGACCGATGCAAATGTCAAAATTCAATATTTGAAGTAACACCCATGTTAAAAATTTTCATAAGTTCATGGGGCTGTATGGTATTGAAAGCCGATGAAAAATCGACAATATTCTTACATAAGACATACCATTTTCTAGATGGCTACAGATTTTATGCAGGAGACTGTGTTGTGTCCTCGACACCTGTTGGGTCAATATGCAAATTGCAAACGGTCCAGAAAATGCTCAACTTCAACAAATAACAATCTCTTGATAATGTGCACGAAGGCATTACCTAGCTATTGAAATCAAAGCCACAGTGTGATAGTCATTGTGTACAGTTGGGTTTTACTTTGGGGGAATGAGTAGAATGTTAGAACAGAGGAACATGATGGGAATGTAATGAAGCTTGAAAAGGTTTTCGAAATATTCCCCACAACTGCTCACTGCCTTCTTTCAATACCATACCATATAAATAATCTGGTCTTTTCATATGTTTAGTGCACTAAAAGATTCAAGAACATCATCATTTGATATGCCTTAGTTATAATTCTGCTGCAGCGACAGAAATTTATTTTCAAAATATGAGGAAAAATAAAAAGTTTCAAAACAAGCATAAAAAGAGTTCAACTCAATGACGAAAGACCGGTCATCATGTGTCCTTATGCGATTGTGTTTGTTGGTCTCAAATGATAGTCTTAATGTTATTCCAGGCTTATTAGATTATTATCAGAGAACTGTTTTGCAATGTTGTCTTTGTAATGTGGTTTGCATTCATGTCACGAGGATCAACAAACAGCAAGCAGATTTACATTTTACAGCGCTGAGATAATACACATCTAGAATATTCTATATAAGCGCTGTAATATGTACCTTTACTTACTGTTTGTTGATCCTCGTGCCATGGCAATCAACTTCCCTCTTGTTCTGCGCATGCCTAGGATGGAATGTTGCGGTCTGTGTGTTTTAGTGCCACCGTTAATCAATGTTTTCAGCAGTGTGCTCTAAGATTAATGATACTGTTTCTTAGTTATAGTTACTATCTCATCATTTCCTGTTACCGATTCCTTGTGTATGGTAATCATATGACAGGTTTTTGTTGCAGTCAGTCAATTTTCATTGGTAGGCCTGTTACTATCGACAGAAATAAAGTTGTAATATACACTGCCTCATAACAATATGAGTTCTGTATTTCATTATTATTGACTGTTAATTGTTAAGTGGTGATAGCTGAACCGTTGTGGCATATTACTTACATAGTTTATAACAGGGTTAGTATTTTGGTTTCGAGTCTGGAATATATATCATCAATACTCTCTTCTTACAAGGAAGCAATCAAGGAATATTTGGGGGTAGCAGTAATCTGATGAGATCTAAAGCAAATGGAATGACCATTGACAATTGGCCACAATGAATAGATGATTATATAGCCATGCTGTGGTTGAAGAAAACAAGGAAAGAAATCAAGGAAAGAAAACAGGGAAAGCTAACAAGCATTATGTTCTTTTCTTATCTTTGATAACCAAAAATCATGTTTTCAATGTTTCTTTGGGGGATAATTTCATTGCTAAATGTACTCAAATGTATCCACACTCTTTCTCATGAACTCAAATATTATTAATGTGGTCTTGGTGAAGCAATCAGGATTTGTTAATCACAGGTTATTGGACCCGGGCCATGTATCAACTAGCACATTTCATTTGGCAAGTTCGTAGGTCATTTTTTCCATCCTTCAAAATGTTGGATTGATCAATCTTTCCACTCTTAGAAATGATTTTTTACTGTGGCTCTCCTTTTGTTTCCATCAGTCATGTGATTCAGTCTGCTCCACTAACACTGGTTCTCTGTATGAATAATTGTCATGGATTTGAGATTTTCGTTCCAACACAGTAACCACATTCATATATACACATTACATTTTTATAACAACATTAACACATTACACATTACATTTTTATAACAACTTGATATACCTTATGCTGATGCTATCAGGCTGTATGTGACTGTCAACCCCAATGGCTTCTCGCATCTGTCCTACACAGTTTTCTAATATGGAGGCTGTTGTAAAGCTCAAAACACTCTGGCTGTCACCTGCTGAGGGCTCCATATCTGCTTCCAGCTCACTTAGTGCCACCTTTTCGAACTTGATCAAACCTACAACAATACAGAATTCAATTTTAGTAACATCTGTATACTTATAGTGCATTACTCCTTATGCATTTACTGCTTACTTTTGACAGAAATGAAGCTGTGTGAGATCCAGCTGCCAAGGAAATTGTCCCAACCTGTTGTAAGGCAGACCCCAATCACACAGCACCCACGTGACCATGGAAGTGATGACATTACGTATCTTCACATTACTGCTTGATCGTAACATTTGAAGACATCGTTGGGAGGTAGCTCTGCAATGGGCAGGCCCTTAGACGTACCATGTATTGCTGTGTATGAGGTGAGTTTTTCATACTTCGAATTAGGGGGCTTTCCAGTGGAGTCGTCTTATACACAAGGTTGAAGAGTTCTGATGTTTTTTCCCCCCAACACAAAGACATTATCATGAGCATGTAACACCGGAAATACTATGTCAACAAATCCGTACTGAAGTAAGCAAATTAATCATGTATATATACTGTCTGTTTATAAAAAGTGTTCACGGTATATCTGGACTTCCGTTTGTTATCTACAGTAATCTATGGTTAAAATGACAGAGAATGGATACATATGTCACATAAATGCCATACTTTCACTCTTTGAAAATCATATTTGTTGTAGTTTAATATGTCAACATGAAGTATTCTTGATCTCAAGCACGGGAGAATTGGCAGTGATGGTCAAATTGTTCCACATGAAAAAGTATCCGGCAATAGCGATCAGTGCCAAAGTGCTACGTTTATGGTAAATAATTTATTTCAAACATATATAGTAAAGCTGTAACTAAAATAACATGATATTGGAATATATTATTCCTGATAAAATAATAGTTTCAGATACAATTCTTCCAATCATTGTATAAAAATTATTTTATAAAAAGTTATATTATTGGGTAAGTTTTAACCGAATAACCGGTAGTTCTGAGAAAACGTGTGTACAGCTGATTGCTGCTTCTGGCTTAGTTTACGAGACAATGCACATGATAATCTTAAACTCTGCAAACAAAACAATGCCCAGTAGAAAAGGAAATACATTTTAATCAGTAAATCATAATGTCCAGTGATGTTTTATCTCAAATTTCAAATTTGTATTGACCAAGTTTAATTGTTATCATCATCTGTTTGTTTCCCTAACTTTGCTGTAATTGTTTTCTGAGAAAGACAAACATGTTTTTATTGGAAATGTGGGGATTGCGTATGCCCTGGTGATGTGTTCATTCCGATTAAATTTATAGATGGGGTATCTAAATTAGCATCGATTTTAAAGGCTTACAGGGGACAACGCCTTACAGGCGGGGGTCGCTTTATAGACAGTGATATATGATAGTAATGAAGGATAAGTACACAAATGTAAATAATATTTAGATTTTACTAAATTTTGTTAACTTATCCTGCATTACTCCTTAATGCATCAGAGGTCGGCATAGCCACAAATGTGATCCTCTGGAACCCTCAAAGACATCCCGGTAACCATCCAGTTCAGCTTTTAGCGAAGATCAGCAACTAAAGGACCAGTGTCCAAGGAAGAACGAGAGTATGAGAAAATCTCAGTGAAAGGCAGCAATAGAAAGTAGTGTATGCTAAGGTCTTAAAACTGACTTACCAAGCCAAGGCTTGTAGCATAAAGCCCCCCTGTCTGGTGCATGAACACTGTGAGAGTCGGGAAAGGCCAGCTGGTGATTTTAGTGGCGTTTGGGATTGGAGACCTGCTGGCAGGTAGAGGCATGCAAAGACTGTGTCAGATCTCAAAAAGCATCCTTCCATGATGGCTCTGATGAGGAATTTGCTGTGTAGAGCCATCCTAGAAGCGACCACCCTGATCTCATGAGGATTGTTGGCCCTCGGAGGATCCAGGCCAGCTGCAACATTAGCTGGAAGGCAACATAGGCCGCCTGTGAACTGAAGTCAGTATTATGGGGTGAGGTCTGACCTTTTGACAATCCATTCCAGCTGATGGAGTATGCGCCTGATAAAGTCCCGGTGAAAAAGCATGGTCGCTGAATCTGGATGATTCAGTGGACAATCGTCTCTGTAGGATTCAAACCGAATGTTCCTCAGGTGGAGGTAGGAGGCCACTGGCTTAGTGATGCGTGTACATAGTACACAGGGCCGCTGAAATTCTGATCAGGGAATCATTGGTGTCATCAGGGAATCGGAATGTGTATAATCCTCAACTTTTCCATGTCCTAGGGGATGAGGAAAATTGGTGAGTAGAAGCCTGGTGTTATGGCCAGGGCATGCACCATCTCAATGGCCCTCTTGGACAAAAGGATGTTGATGTTGTCTGTCAGAGGTCGATGTTGATGACTGGGATAGACTCAAGGCCAAGGAGTGGTGGTCAGAGGTGGGTCTATCATCACAATATGTTCGTCAGAAAAGTGTCTGCCAAGATGGCCCAGTTCTGCAAGAATAGATTAATCTCCTTTAGAGTTAATGGTTGAGACAAGCCAGTCATGTGTGTGAGGTCTTCGTCCAAGGTGTGTGTAGTATGGAACGCGTGGACATGAAGTCCCCCTTCTTAAAACAAGGCACCTTGAAAGCAGGAGTGAGCGACTTGTTTGCCTAGTCCTCTTCAAACGCCCTGATCATATCCCTCAAAATCGGATCAGGTACAATGGAGGTCGGCTTAGACCAGATTGTGTCCTTCTTATCCACCCCTGGACCAGGGCAAGGCACAAGTGGAGATGTCATAGTTCAGGATAAAGGCACCATCAGATGAGTCAGAATGGTAGCCCTGTGAACAATGGACCTGAGTGCAGCTCCTTGATGTACGCCTAGATCAAGAACACTTGGAGCTTTGTCTAGAAGAGGAGCAAGGTGAGGCAGACCCTCAAGAGGACATATTGGCTGAGGACGCAATGATCGCAGGAGGTGTAGGCACTACAGGCACCTGAAGCATAGGAGGCATCAGAGGCACAGGAGACACTTGAGATGCTTGAAATGCTTGAGACCTAGAAGGCGCCTGAGGCGTAAGAAGTGTATGCAAGGGGTTAGGGTCAGGGTCCTTTAGGGTCCTTTAGTGGCTTCTTGCCAGAACAACCAGAGCAACGAGCGAGCATAAATCTGTAATTTAAGTCAAAGTTGCAGACACATGTACCCAACAATAGGTGGTAAAATATGAAATTTACAATTGAGAAAAACCTTAAACTCCAATAAATGGTTGATAGAATGTATCAGAAACAATTACCAAGCCATGAAAATGTATTAGGAACATATATGCCACGATGAACATGACCCACCCATATATTCAAGATGGCGGATTGGAACAACAAAGCACATGTAAAAATTACAGCAACAAAAAGCCACTAACACATGCAAAATATAAATGCTACCGCCAAAGAATATAGTAGAACGTTTTAACACCAACCAGAAGGAGAAATAATGAAAACCATAAAGGATGGACACAGTTAGTTGGAGCAGTTTATTAAACATAACTTATCATCCTGATGACAAGCAGCAATATGACATATACGTGACTTCATCACTTCCGTGGTCACGTGGGTGTTGTGTGATGGGGCCTGCTTCACAACAGTTTGGAAAAACTTCTTTTTCAGCTTCTTTTTGCCAACATCAGTCATCCTAGATGCAGATTATTGGGGAGGTGGGTGGGAGTACTCCTGAGGTAATAGAGGTAGAATTCCTAGAATTATTTACAAAGATAACTATTGTCTGATCATACTTGAATATACATAACCATCATAACCAGAATATACCACAGGGAAACATTTTTTTTCTGAATCTAGTAATAGCCTGGATAGTTAACTGTCTATTGCTGTAAACAAGAAAAAAATGCCAAATTTTTTCAGACAACTTACAGTTTTTTTACCAATTTAGGAAAACATAAACTAAAATCATCTCAAAAGGCCCAATTCCTGGATAATGTGAAAGACGTGTGCAAATATGTAATCAACTTCCACAGAACTACAGTAATATTTGAATCCTGATAACCCCAGTTTGTGACATCATAACACCCTTGATGTCACAGTTTAAATTTTCCTGCCCACCAGGAAAGGACAAGTCACCTCAAGTCATCTATAAATGTTGACACCTTTATTCTACATAAATGTACCATACCAAAAGACATAAAAAGATGGTACTTGTTGTTACCCTGTCTGGCGCTCGGCATTAAGGGGCTAAAACAAGGACTGGTCAGCCCAGAGTCAGTTTACAATGTCTGAGTGGGGTATTCATGTTAAACTACTGCACAATAAATCGGCAACAGTCCGGACTGGTACAGGCAGCCCCACCCATACACCAACCCCCCACACACACACCCACACCCCAACCCACACACATAGAAACACACCCTCTCCCCACACACAAGTCGCTGAAGTGCAAGAATCTCAGACGTGATGTTAATACCCATATTACCTTACCTCACCTCAATATCGAGGTTGGTTCAGTTCACGAGGAAAGAGAACTACCTCAGTTTTCTCCGATAACAGTCATCAGTTCTTGTGTTATCAAGAACATTAATATTTTGTAAGTGTGTAACAAAGATAGTTAATTAACCTTTACTATAGTGCCAAGTATTTAATTAACATTCCAGTATAAAATTCAAAAATGATGACCCTTGGTGGAATTCAATGTAACAATACCAGTACATACATATTACCTACTTCTAATATCAAAATATTGTCCTCATTTTTCATACATAATTATTTAAACAACATAAACATGACATGCATAAGGCTATATACAATGAAAAACAAACTTTAGAAATGGCCCTCACAGTGAATTGTTTGATAAGCATTACTAAGAAGTTGATGGATGACAAAGAAGAGACAATTTATGGATAACAACTTCTATATTTACTTTAAAGGTGATGTTTTGGTGTAGATCCTAATACCATTGTCAAGCAATCCTTCATGCAATTTAACTGGAAGAATGGTGAAGTTGACTAACCATTTTTAGGTGTGAGAAGCCAGCTGTAAAGAAATCCAGCAGCAATGGAGAAGTACAAAACCACTCCATGCTGCTTACTAACAGTTGTGTTGATCTGGTCTATGGTAATAGGAGACAAGTCCATAGTTGTTCCATTAAACAAGCCTGCAGAACCTGCTTGCCTCTCAAGTAGCAAATCAATGAAGGCACGGGTGCATGCCCTTTCAGCCACAGCAAGTGCTTCTTCAGGACGACTAAGATCAACCAACACTCTCTGAAAGAAAAAAAACAAACTTGTTCAACACTGGTGGAGCCAAAACTGCACTTTCTGTTTTAATAAACTCTGCAGTCATGTTGTTTGGGCTGTTTGGGTTATTGTTTGAAGAGGTACTACAGTAATGTAGAACTGTGGTTGGTGTGACATAAGTTCACTTGACTTTCAGTCAGGTGTGCTTGAAGATCTTGAAGACCTTCATGGCCATTTCTCCATTTAAAATGTTATGAAAGTAGTTATTATTGGGGCTCAACATATATGCTGTGTTTTTGTAGCAGAGGACATGCTTACCCTTTTCGCAAACACCTTGTGTCATCACTAATTTTCAGTGTTCCATACATACAATTTTCACCATTACTTGCCGTTAATATCCAAAGGAGTCTGCAGATAATCAAGACTGATTATCATTCTCATTTTGACAAACATAACAGCTCAAAACTGAGTAAGATTTGAATCTCGTGAACTTGAACTTGGATTTCATCAAGAGAAGATATTCATGATGCACAATTACTTTTATTTTTCAATATTCTGGTAAAAATGACCCCAACAAGCTTGGAAATACATATGGTGGCCATTTGACCCACAAAGTTTCAGCCCTCTGTCTCTTTAATTTTGGAGGAATTTTTTTAATTAATTCTTTAAAATTTAAGTCAAAGATGGCACCTGGCAGCTATATTGAAATTCCAATTGTGATGCCTTGAACAAACTGGAACCCCTTTACAGTAACAAACATTCACACAACATCTCAGCTAAATCCATCAAAACATTTCAGAGAAGAAGCTGAAAGTGTGAAAAAGTGTAAGGACTGTGACTTGTGATGACATGAGCTCATATGGCCTTTCAGACATATACTTGAGTAACTTGGGAAGTGTAAAGAAGGTGAACTTGCAATATACAGTGGAAATTTGAGAAAATAGGCTATATTAAAAGGGTAGTGAGGACCTATCAGGTGTGAGTTATGGGTAGAAAGAGGGAATCTGAAGAGGATATTTCATGTGTCTAGTGAAATATGTTTCTCTCATCAAGTTACTGGGGGAAAGGAGATATTTTCACAAGTGGCATAGCCCCGTCACGAGATGAGAGAAACATGACATTTCATGATATCCTATTTATTACATACTTTTTGTGAAGTTGTCTACCAGAAAATTCAATTATTTCATGTCAAATCTAAAACCTTGAAACTGAAATTCTACCTACTTAACACACAGGGACGGTTCACCACCTTAAAAGGTTTTATAATCTAATGTTCAAAAGGGAAACCAAGTGAGTTTGCAGGTTATATTATCTCTTAATGCAAAGTGATTTTTTTATATATATATATAATTTTGTGCAGAGATAAATTAAATGGGATTTTAAAAGAAGGTTTCTGATATTAACAGATATTGTTTATGAAATTCTACTAAGTTCAAGGCTGATGTATGAAATGGAAACAGGAAGGGTGACTGTATTTTGATGAGGTTCGACCTGGGAGAATATCAATATGATCCTTGATTCCTTTCCCCTTGGGAAATGGCAATCTTTACTATTGTGCAGAGGGAAATTGCAAAGATTAAGTCCTTGGGCTCATCTCCCCCAAGAGATCAAAGGGTAACCAGGGGAATTGAATACTATTGGTCAGTAGATGTTTCTTTTAGATCAACATTCTGATTAGGGTCTACCGGTCTAACCAAATATTGACATTCTTGATGACAAGATGTAATTTAGTAGTTGTGTTAGGAAGGATGAATCTGGTAATGCTGAAAGAATTTAGAAATTGACAGAATGGAAATTAGTTACTAGTGAGATGAGGGTTATGATTCACTGAAACATTATTTTGGTGGGAGGAGCTAAAATTAGCATCGATATTATTCTGTTAGTTGCTCGAAAGTGGTGCGGGGATTCAGAGACTCACTGCTGATATGAAGTACTACCAGATCTTCAATGAATCATCTAGATATGTGTTTTGAACCACACCTGAAGACCTTTTGTAACTCAAGAATTCTCAGTCTACAAAAGGACACAAATTAACAACAAATCTGACTTATGATTTGAATAAGCGACATGATTGCCAGAACCAAGGATTTATCAGTCCTTTCTGTATCAGTCCTAAGTCTTTTCAGATGAGCAAGTCAACCCTCCAATTTGATACTCAGTATGGGAGCCCCAATAAGCAAAACAAAATAAACACAGTAGCAAAAGTTCCAAGATATATTCTGTAAATACATGAGGCATAGTGCAAAAGAGCAGGAGCGGGTACACGCATTGGTTATCTGCGCTGACATACGCTGACAGGATCAAGGGACTGAATTGATGTTTCGGTAGTGGAAAGAAAAGGCCATATCTGACTTCCAAAAGCATCCTTCCATAAATGGCGGACAGGGTGCAATTACTGTGCAATTACTCAAGTCTTGTGAGGATTGGACCAGAACAGGGGCGGCCACCTAGCAAAAGTGTAGGCCCGTAGTATGGTCGAAGTATAATCTGATTATTGTGTGATATAGATCTAACTGTTGAATCCAAATGACCAAAACTAAACAAATAGGCCTACCTATTTTCGTATTGCACTGAAAGAATCGTGTCATCATTTCGTATTTATGTATCGTTACTGTTACATTAACCGAAACTGTTGTTCTGCTCCTGTTCTGCCGTAAAAATATGCAAAACAATACACTTTGAACACAAATGCATTGAATGTGTCACATGTACATATGACCATGTGCTTTGCTATTTATAGCACAACCGTAAATAAGCTCTGCCCACTGTGATTGATGCAGATGCCAAACACGATTGATTCAATTTTTTATGATAAAACTACAGAAAATTTATTGACTTATATCTAGATATGGAGCCATTTGTGGTATTTGTCTTTGGGGCTGGGGAACAACACAGTTTGTCTGGAGGAGGACTGGCTGTCCCTGTTCCTTTGGGCAGGAACAAATTCTTCTGTTGGTCCTCCTTTGCCAAAAGGATGGTGGATATCATAGGGAGCATCCACCTTACAGTGTGAGCCAGGTCACGATCCTCCACAGTCAATGCAGTCAATGGTCGAGAGACTGCCATCGAGTTCCGGAGCTGAAACAGTCTCAGACATGCCATGGGTGCCAGAATCCTAAACATAAAAAGGCTTGCATAAACAACGGAAAGATGCAAAAGCACTGTCGAGATTAGTTGAAATATCCAAGTAAAAAAAACATGCCTGGGAGGTAGCGTGATGTTCTTAGAGCTGGCAGAGGGAACAGTGAAGCATGATAACCAATCATCTGATGAAGTACAGCGTTTAAGTCAAAGCTGATCCGCAATCCAGGGAAGGACCAGTGCAGGGTTTGCAGGTTCAAAACTCTCAGAAGACGATGCAGGGGAGGGTTCATGATCCATATCTTTGTCAGCCGGCCCATGATCGGAGGATCCGGAACAGCTGAGCCAGGAAGAGCAGACTGTGTGAGAGAACTTGAGCTATCCAGACCAGGAGCCACTGGTACCCAAGAGGTAGGGAGCAGCTGTTACTGATAAGGTAGAAGGAACCAGAACTGGAAGGGGAGAAGCAGATTGGGAGAGACTCAGAGACTATGAGTATTAGTCATTTGCAGAATCTGGATGAACAGGAGGTGGTATGTGGAGGTTTGATCATCAGTTCTTAGCCAGTTGATCCCCTAAGCCCCAATCCTGAGAAAATCGATCCCTAGACGAGCGGTCCTTCAAGCATCGTTTATACGATCAACTATCCTTGGAATGTCAATGCTTGGGTGAGGCTCAGGACCAATCCTTACTTCTCTGAAAAATTAAAGAATGTGAATCCTGATGACCAGTAACTGGGGAATCTTTGTTTGTCACCATCGACGGGTGAGCGCGATTGTCTCTAGGTGAGGAGAAACACCCAGAACAACACACAAAGGAGAGGGAGATGCGGCTGGTAGCAGACATTCTAGGAGTGGCAAATGCATATTACTACTTGTTCTTGACAGAGAAAAGAGCTGTGTGAAGGTCTTTGCTTGAAGAAGTTGCTCCAACTAGCTGAGAGGCCAACCAATCACGCAGCTCCCACGTGACCAAAGGAAGTGACGTCACTGATCCTCACATTACTCTGGAGTCTGAAACATCGACGGGTGAGCGCGATTGTCTCTAGGTGAGGAGGAACACCCGGAACAACACACAAAGGAGAGGGAGATGCGGCTGGTAGCAGACATTCTAGGAGTGGTAAATGGGTTGATCAAAAGTGTAGACAATGCAGTTTTGGAAAAATCAACTGAGAGAACCTGGCGATGTCTGTAGAAGCCGGCGGTGCCGATGTAGATGTGGACCCTTGTTTTTCAGCAACAGACTGTTGATGAGGTGAAGTACCAACGTCTTCTGTCAGGTAGCTGTGTGAAACACCATCATTGGCCATCGAGATGGCAGGCAAGAAAGATTCCGGTGGCTCTGCCTCTGTAGCGCTAGAGGGGACAGTCAGCTTGCTGGACTTCTATGACTTCTTGGTAGATGACGACTTGTTGGAGTCCTTGAACGGCAATCCACCTCACATTGATGACACTTGTGAAGATATATGCTATGTGATTCATCAGTAAGATGACTACATAAAGAGCACCTCTTGTCAGAACTATACTGGCCACAGCAATTGCAGTATAAATCGTGAGGGCCAGATGTAGAAAAAGTAGGCTGGGCGAAGAGGATCTTTCTTGCTCATATTTCCAGATGTCATATGTAAATCACCACAAAGTGGTAGGGAAATCAGTTTAAAACTAGTAAAAAATTTTTATATTTGTATACTTATCCTGCATTACTCCTTAATGCATATTACTGCTTGTTCTTGACAGAGAAAAGAGCTGTGTGAAGGTCTTTGCTTGAAGAAGTTGCTCCAACTAGCTGAGAGGCCAACCAATCACGCAGCTCCCACGTGACCAAAGGAAGTGACGTCACTGATCCTCACATTACTCTGGAGTCTGAAACATCGGAAGTCAACGTGGGGAGGAAGATCTGCGATGGGTGGGTCCCTTTAGACGCAGTAATGCAGGATAAGTATACAA